CATTTTTCTTCCTCCAATCCTCTATCGCTTCTGCCCCTTCCTCCTGATTTGTCTCAGCCTAGTCTTTCAAAGATGTATGTGAAGAAAAAGTGCTGCAGAATCTCTTTTTCTCTTTGCGGTAAACATTTCCCTACTTTTCAACCCAAACAAGCAGGACCTTTGATAGTTGATGTAGGGACACAAAAGCTCTCTCATCCCACTCATTCTTAGGGTGTCCCAGTCTCTCCTCTAGCTGGCATGTGTTGTGCAGCATGCCCTGACTATTCTCTCCTCCTGGCATGTTTGCAGTGCCAGGGCTTGCCTTTTTTGTCTCCTTTAACCTTGGGGACTTCCAAAGGGGCTAGAAACAGAGAGCAGGATTAAACATCTCACAGGTCCTTCGTCCTGCTGGAGGTGTTCTGGAGACTGCACAGAAGGACCAGGCACTACAGGCTGTTCCCTGGAGACTATGGGCAGCATAATATTAGGCGTGGAAGATCTGGTTTTATTTGGGGTATCCCTATGGGAGGTAAATGGCATTATTTTGCTGCAGGATACATGCTGAGCTGAGGTCTCAAACCTCCTGCCCAAACACCCCCCCTTGCTATTCCTGTAAACATGGCTGTAGCACAGAACAAGAAACAAAAAGGGAGCTCCATTCAATTTGTGCCTACCAGAGCAATAAATTTAATGCCCGTTCTAGTACCAGCTGTGAAAAAGCCAAGCCCCACAGCTGCTCTCCTATCAGTCAGGGACTGGCCCCAGGCACAGCGGCCGTTTCACCACGCACCTCAACACCACGGGCAAATCCAGCGTCCTGCAGCTGCAGCAAGTGGAGCTCTCTGACACTGCCTTGTACCTCTGTGCTGTGCAGGACACCCTGGTGCAGGCAGCTTCCTCAGCTGTGCAACAACCCAGGGCAGGGAGGGGATGTGTCAGTGCAAGGCTGAGCTTGGGGAAAGGTAAGCTCTTCTTTTAGAGCACTATTTCCTTGGTGCACCCAGGAACCTTCAGGCCATTACATTCTTCCACAAGGAGTCAATGTCAGTGGCTTGAGAAGAAGGAAAGGGTGGTGGAAAAAACCCTGCTTTGGAACTGGCTTCCCTGTGCATCCTAGAACCAGAAAGTATTTGCCATGTCCTGTGCAGAGAATACTTGTCCATTCTCTTTGTGTGCTCTGCATAGCACCAAGGACTGGCAGGAACCAATCAGAGACTCACCTGAGCCTCCTCATCTGTTCCTATGAAAAAGGTCTGGGGTTTTTGTGTTTGTTTTCTTTTATAATAAAAATTCTTCATTTATTTCCCTGAGCTTTTCTCAAAACTCCACCACTCACTGCAGCTGTTGGCCAGTGGGGTGGGGCTGCAGGGCTGGCAGCAAGGGATGCAAAGCTGGCACTGCTGAATGCGAGACATATGATGGGGCATGAGGGGCACTTGGAAAGAGGGCAGGGGAGAAGAAAAATATAAAGATACATGAGGAGCACCACAGCAGGAGTGAGTCAAAGGACATGTTGGGCCAGGAGGTGGAGGCTCTGCAGAGGTGTATGAGGGCTCATTGGCCTCATCCTGCCAGGCTCCAAAAGAGCTACCAGCTCCTATGCAGCCACTGCCCAGGCCCTGAGTTATTTTCTGTCAGACTTATCTTGAATGCAAAATAGCACATTTGAAATGTAAAACATACCATTTAATGCTATGGGCTGTGGCTTGGCTTCCTGAATGGCTGTGTTTTTATTTCGTGGTTTATTTTTTATTTCAGGCACATTCTTTCCTCAGTGAATATTTTTTTTTTTTTTTTTTTTTTTTTTTTTTTTTTTTTTTTTTTTTGTGGCAAGATGAGAGGCCCAAGCAATTCTGGATCAAAACACATCAGCTTGGGCACAGGACTCATGTGACATCCTGGACAAGTGTAGTAAAAGCAAATTATGTCAGTCTGGATCACTGCTTTGGGGGTCTTTGGTGGCCCTCTTGGCAAGGAATAACTCAATTCCTGGATTTTATGCTGTCCTGCCTAACAATGAACCAAGAAAAATTCTGCTCCTCCTTCTCTTCCAGAAAGAGGTGTGTGCAGCCCATGTCTGGGGCCTTGTTCCTCTCCAGAATGCTCCAGCCCAGTCACCATGATCTCCACATGTCCACAGCAGAGGCCACAATTCATTCTTTCACAGAGTCACAGAGGATGCTGAATTGGACAGCACCCACAAGCATCATCCAATCCAAATCATAGTCCTGTACAGGACACTACCAAAAGTCACCCTATGTGCCTGAGAATGTTATTTAAACTTTTGTCAGGCTTGGTGCGGTGCCCACCACCCTGGGGAGCCTAGTCCAGTACCCGACCACCCTCTAGACAAAGAATGTTTTTCTAATATCCAACATAAACTTCTTCTGACACAACTTGAGCCTATTCTTTCTAGTCCTGTCACCACAGAGCGGAGATCAGTGCCTTCTTCTCCTCTTCCCCTCACAAGGAAGTTGTAGATTGAAATGAGGTCTGACCTCAATCTGCTCCTCCCCAGGCTGAACAGACCAAGTGGCCTCAGATGCTCCTCATAAAGCTTCCCTTCAAGGCCCTTCCCAATCCTTGCAGCCTCTTTTGGACACTCTCAAATAACTTAATGTCTCCTTTTAAACTGTGATGTCCCCGACTGCATCCAGAACTCAGGGTGAAGCCACCCCAGTGCTGACAATCCCCTCCCTTGCCCAGCTGGCAATGTTGGGCCTGATGCCCCTAGGACACTATTGGCCTTCCTGGCTGCCAGGGCACTCATATCCAGCTTGCCATCAACCAGGACCCCCAGCTCCCTTTCCATGACACTGCTTTCCAGGCGCTTATTCCCCAGTCTGTCTGTACATCCAGGGTTGCCCCATCCCAGGTGCAGAACCTGGCACTTGTCCTTGTTGAACTTCATATGGTCGTTGATTGCCCAGCCCTCTAATTTGTCCAGGTCTCTTTGCAGGGTGTCCCTGCCTTTGAGGGAGTTGACAGCTCCTCCCAGTTTTGTATCATCCATGAACTTGCTTCATTTCCCTTCTAGTCCTGCATTCCAGTCATTTGTGTGGATGATGAAGAGCACAGGGCTGAGGATGAAGCACTGCAGAACCCCAGCAGTGACAGATCACCAGTCTGATGTCACCCCAGTCACCATCATGCTTTGTGCCTGACCTGTGAGCCAGTTGCTCACCCATCACATGATGTCTTTACCCAGCTGTGGGCCTGACATTTTGTCCAGAAGGCTCCTGCAGGAGACAGTATCAAAAGCTTCACTGGAGTCCAAAAATATTATATCAACTGCCTTCCCTTGATTAAGCAGGTGGATTACCTTGTCATAAAAGGAAATCAGATCTGACACAGCAAGACTTCCCTCTCCTGAAGCTCTGCTGGCTGTGACTTTGCATGTTCTTATCTCATGTGCACTTGTGTGCAGCTAGGACTGTGTGAATATACGTAGGTGCAAAAAAATTTGTGCATGATTCCTTTCTGACATGCTTAAGTGTGTGTGTGTGTGTGTGTGTGTGTGTGTGTGTGTATATGTGTGTATGTGTGTGTGTGGCGTGTGTCCCTCCTCATGAGGGATTGCTCTGCTTACAGGACATTCTCCACTTCTCTACCAATAAGCTCCACAGAGCACCCAGAGTCTGAAAGAACTTCAGTGTAGCTGAACGAATGTGGCAAAGAATTACCCTCACCTCAGGCACTGAAATGCAGTGTTCTCTATCTTCAATCCTCCTTTTCTTACTGCCTCAAAGCTCACATTCTGCTGATGATGATTCCTGGTCCAAATTAGGACAATTTCACGCCAGTTTGGATCCTTAGTTTAATTCACTGTAAACAATATTGGGAATGCCTAAACATGGCTTGCAGTCCTCATTCCATGCTTCTCCAGCCCAGGACAGTGCTCTTCCAAGATCTAGGGATTTCAAAAGGACGAGGCTTGCTTTATGGGCAGCAGAAGGCTAAGAAGTCCTGCCAGCTTCATCCAGGCTATGCTCAAGTGAGTCTGCTTGCACTGCAGTGTCAGTGCTGTCTGCTGTGAGACACATCTCTGCCTTGTGTTCAAGCCAATGCCAAATGTACCAGTGCATTCAATCAGCCTGGTGCTGTGCCAGGCAGAGGCTGAGACCTTGGATTCAACATGTTCTGATCTAAAGGACCATGGCATAGGGAAAAGAAGGTGCTCAATGGGTATTTGCCCTCACTTTCTACTGAGTCATGAAGGGGAGAGGAAAATGGAGTAGAAACCATGGTCGAATGCAAAGGTTGTTTTCTGCATTCCAACTCCCATTATTCTGCAAAGGAAATTACGTCCAAGACCCTCACTTCAACAACCCCAGTGCAGTTCTGACCATACTGACAGGAGCACCTTTGCTCAGGAAACCATGGGGCTGCTATTGCTTCAAGGTCTCCCAGCTTTCTGGGTATTGGTGGGCAAAGACACATCAAGACAAGGCTTGATGGTGTCTGGAAGCAGAGCAACCAGGGGATGTCTTCCTCAGCTCCAAGAGATTGTACCCTTAATAGCTGCACCTCCATGGTGCCCCAAAATTCCATTCTTCTGTGAATGGAGAAGGGTCTCCTTATGCCCTCACCCACTTCCATGACTAAGCAACACCTTTATCCTTTGTCATTCAGAAGTGCAACCAAGGGAAGGACCACAAAGACACCAAACTTGAATGCAGCAGAACTTTAATGAAATGGAAGAAGGAAACAAAGCCACTGAAAGCAGAGGTCAGCAGCACAGGCAGCGCCAAGGGCAGCAGGGAGTCTGCACTCCTTGGCTCTGGAATAGTTCCTGCATAATATTAGTCTACCTGTCCCACAAAGGGGAGAAACCAAATGGTCCCTATCAAGCTGGCCTTTGGGGAACGTAGAAGCACATAGGAACCAATGCAAACAATGAAAAGGGAGAGAAAGGCAAGTTCGATCAGCTATTGTGCAAACAGCACTCAAAACCTAGATCCTCTGCCCAACACCGTGTTCTGAGTTCCTCAAGATGTCTCGTTGGGGCTTTCTCAGCAGCTTTAGCAGGGACGACATCTGTTGCCACCATAGCGCCTGGTGATGCAGGAGAGGTCAAAGCCCCCAGAGTTGATGGGCACTCCTTCACAGCTGAGGATGTTGCCAACAGCAGCAGAGGTGGAGGATCCCACCACAGTGTTCTGTGGGAAGGAGCTGAGGATGGGCCCAGGCAGGGTCACCACCACAGCAGGCGGCTCAATAACAACAGTGGAGTTCTGGCACTGCCTGACACAGGGCTCATTGCAGCTGTTGGCCAGTGGAGTGGGGCCACAGGGCTGGCAGGGACGGCACTGGGTGTTGCAGGACATGTCTTGAGGCTGTAGACGCACCTGGCAGAAAGAGCAGAGAGGAAACAGAGCACAAGGCTGGGTGGGTGGTGAGGAGCAGCCTGGTTACCCCATCACAAAAGAGCCAAGGCCATCACGAGTGGGAAGCTGGAGACTGGGCCAGGAGCCATACAAAGAGCAGCCTGACTCAGGAAGTTCTCTGCCAGGGCATAAAGCAAAAGGAACCACCATCACCAGCCTCTCTCTATGCCAGCCTCCTCCCCACTTTCCTCTCTCATGACCAGATGCTCCAATCCCCAAATATGAGAAAGCACATGTCAGTTGAGTTGTCCACCAAGCAGAGATCTCACTTTGGCAGAGAAAGAGAAGGGGCTTCAGACTCACCTGATTCCCAAGCAGAAGGAAGCAAGAGAAGTGGATGAGAGAGCAGAGACTAGAGCAGAGACTTGGGCTGCCTTTTATACCTGCCCTTCACTGCCGCGGGACCAGGGGCAGACTTTGCAGAGGTAACAATTTCCCAGCAAGCTCATCTTGAATGTAAACTAGCACACCTAATGATATGGGCTGTGCTTTTATTTCCTGCATTGCTGCCTTTTCATTTCCAGGTTTGTTCCATGCCCGTTCCCCAATGAAGGCTTCTTCTGATCCCTGGGATTAAAGGCCCCAGGATTTCTAAGGCAGGAATGCAGCAGTGCAGGCAGAAGACTCAGTTTATGTACTGCACAGGCCCAGACCAGGAAAGTGATGCTATCCTGATCACTCTTCTGGGATTGTTTGAAGTGTTGTTTTCAGGAAGAAGCTGCAGCGCTCATAGAACCGTAGAATCATATAATCATATAATGGCTTGGTCTGGATGGAACTCCTTCATAAAGAGAAGCAGTGACACTCACTAGATGAGGCTGTTCCAAGTCCCATCCAAGCTGACCTTGAACACTTCCAGGGATGTGGCAGCATCAGCTTTTATGTGAAGTTCCATTGCCACCCTTTGAGTAAGGAATTTGTTCCTAACATCAAATCTACATCTTTCCTCTTTTAGTTTAAACCATTCCACTTTGTCCTATCAGTATCTGCCTGTGTAAAAAGTTGGCATCCATATTTTTGTAACCCCCTTCACATACTGACTGGCCTCCATGAGGTCTCCTCAAAGCTTTCTCTTCTCCATGTGGAACAACCCCAACTCTCTCAGCCTATCTTCATGTCAGAGTTGCTTCAGCCCTCTGAGCATCTTTGTGGTTTCCTTTGGACCTGCTCTACCAGGTCCATGCTTTTCTCATGCTGAAGACTCCATGTCTGAACCCATGTGGGGTCTCACAAGATCAGAGTAGATGAGGAGAATCACTGCCCTCAACCTGCCAGTCAGGCTTTTTATGATGCAGCCCAGGATGACTTTCTGGCTGCAAGTGCAAACTGCTGGCTCATGTCCCGGTTTTCATCCACCAGAACTCCCAATTCCTTCTTCACAGGTCTACTCTCAATGAGTTCATCTCCCAGTCTGTCTTCATGTCTGGGATTTCCTAATGCAGGTGCTGCACCCTGCGCTTGAGCTTCTTAAACTTCATCAGGTTCTCATGGGCCCACTTCTCAAGTTTCTCAGGTCTCCTTGGATAGCAATCTCCTTCTGTAGTGTCATCTGCACAGCTCAGCTTTGTGTCATCTGCAAACATGCCAAGGGAACACTCGATCTAATATCCCTGTGATTGAAAAAGATACTAAAAAGCACGAGTCCCAAGACAGAGCCTTGAGACATGCCCCTCTTCTCCTACCTCCATGTGGTCATAGAGCCACAGACTAAAGTTGTGTCCATCCAGCCATTTTCATATCCGCAATAGCGCGCCCTTCAAATCCATGTGTATTGGGTTTGCATGGCCTGGTTTTGGTAGCAGGAGGGCTACAGGGGTGGCTTCTGTGAGAAGCTGCTGGAAGCTTCCTCAGTATCCAGCAGAGCCAAAGCCAGCTGGCTCCAAGACAGACCCAAAGCTGGCCAAGGCTGAGCCCATGAGAAATGGAAGTGGTGCCTCAGGAATAACATATTAAAGAAGGAAAAAAATTATTGCACGGGTGTAGTTGTGGCCAGAGGAAAGCAGAGTGATAATATGTGAGAGAAATAGCTCTGCAGACACCAGTGGAGAAGGAGAAACAGGACCTGTTCCAGGCTCCAGAGCTGAGATTCCTCTACAGCCCCTGGTGAAGACCATGGTGATGCAGCTGTGCCCCTGCAGCCCACAGAGGGCATGGGGGTGCAGAGATGCACCTGCAGCCCCTGGAGGAGCCAACACCAGAGCAGGTAAATGCCTGAGAGGAGGCCATGAGCCTGAGGGAAGCCTGTGCTGGCAGGGACCTGTGAAGACAGGGGCCCATGCTGGAGCAGATTTACTGGAATGACTTGGGACCCTGTGAGGGTTCCTGAAAGACTGACCCCATGGAAGAGTGACCCACATTGTAGCAGTTCTTGGGGAACCATAGCCTGTGGGATATGGTTCCTAGCCTCCTTCTCATTTTGGATAGGTTTATGGAGAACTTCTCCCCTGGGAGGGACCGCACCCTGGAGCAGGGGAAGGACTCCCACTCCTCTCCTTGAGCAGCAGCAGGAACAACCTGTGATGAATTGACCATGAGCCCTGTTCCTGTCTTCCCTGCTCTGCTGCAGGGGATGAGGTGAAGCTGGGAAGAAGGGGGAGGTAGAGGGAAGATGTTTGGTTTTTTTAATAAGGCTTGTTTTATTTCTCATTATCCTCCTCTGATTTTATTGGTAATAAATTCAATTAATATGCCTTAGTTGAGTCAGTTTTGCCTGTGAGAGTATTTGGTGAGAGGTCTCTTCCAGTCCTGATCTCAACTCATGAAGCATTGTTATATTTTCTCTCCCCTGTCCACTTGTAGAGGAGAGTGATAGAGTGGCTTTGGTGGGTGCCTGGCAACCAGCAGGGTCAACCCACTATACCATCCCTTCAATTTGGAGATAAGGATTTTGCGTGGACTGTGTTGAAGGCCTGACAGAAGTTTAGGCAGATGACACTGGCTAGTCTTCCCTTGCTTACTGTTTCAGTCACTCCATCCTTGAAGGCCACCAGATTGCTCAGACATTACTTGCTCAGACATGACTTGCCCTAAGAGAAGCCTTGCTGTCTGTTTTGGATCACCTCCTTGTCTGAATATGACTTACAGTTGCTTTCATGAGGACCTGTTCCATGATCTCCCCAGGCACAGAGGTGAGGTTTACCAGTCTGTGATTCCCTGGGTCCTTTGTATTGCCTCTTTAAAAATACAGTCTGCTGCTGGATGCCCAAGGATTCCTGTGCACGAGGATGGGCCATGTCCTTCCCTATCACTCCCTCCTCGGCTCACCCTGATGGTTATTTGTTGTTATCTCCCCATGTGTGTGCATTGGGCTACAGGCTCTGACCCCATCCTACCTAACTCTGCCCTCAGGAAAACTTCTGGCTTGTTTTGACTTGTCCACTCTCTGAGCAGTCTGTGAGTACACAAACAATGCTGTGAGCTTGCCTGGGGCCTTGCCCTTCCCTGCTGTGACTGTCTCCTGGTGTCCTCAGCAGAGTTCACAGCAGGGTGTGTTCCTACATGTGTTCATGTCTTTGGTGCTCTTGTGTGCAATCAGACTAATGTGAATGTAGCACAGGTGCATATTTGACAGGTGCATATGAACACATGTCCTTTTGTGTCTCTCCTCACCAATAGATTGTGTTGCTCATGGCAGGGACACTCTCCACAGCTCCGTTCACAAGCTCTGCAAAGCAGCAGGACCTCAAGTGCAGCTGAAAGGTAATGGCATCAGCCTCCTGGAAACCTCTCCAAAAAGAGGCACTGTAATCAACCTATTTCCTGAACCCTGCTTGTCCTGATCCTCCAGAGCTCATACTCCACTGATGGTGAGTCCAAGCCCCAACAAGGACTACTGATTTAGATCCTTAATGTAGTTGAGCATAACAGGATTGGGACTGCCTCAGCATGATGGGCAGCCCCCTCTGCCTGCCTCACCAGATCAGGACACAGCTGCTAGAGAGTTCAAAAGGATGGGGTTTGGTTTATCCTGGAGAAAGAATAAGGAATCCTACTTGCTCTCCTTGTTCAGGCTGTGTCCAAATTGATCTGCTTCCAAGTGAATTGTTGGTGCTTCCAGGTGTGGGACGCAGCGTTCCTTCATGCCAAAGCCAATGTCAAATGTATTCATCCAGATCATCGCCTGGTGCTGTGTCAGGCTGAGATCTTGGCCCAAATAGGTACTGAATTAAAGAATCACAGTACATGTTATTGGTGTGCATTGAACTGGAAGGACAGAGACACTGTGTGTTGCACAGAGGAAGCCAATAAGCAGGGTTACTGGGCAGATGGGCACCAGTGGGGGATGCCCCAGCAGTCACTCTGTGGTGCAGATGTCACAGTGTCCCTAGGTGGGAGTGCTGCTTCTGCCCTGGGTCTGCCTGTGGAGCAGAGAGAGTGGGGGACTCCAAGGGTGCCAAGCAGAGCAAGGAGCTGGACTGCCCCTATAATAGCAATTTACGCAGTGACAGCAGTGCAGGTCTTGTGGGTGAAAAGGTGAGGCTAGTCATCATAGGAATATTGGCCAACAAGTTGAAGGAGTTCAGAGACTCTTCCCTAAATCTCCAACAGGAAGACTGTGCAGGAAACTTTCCCTGTTAGTCCCTTCATACTTCACCTGCTGTTTGAGCTCAGCTTTGCCTTCATCAGCTTCTTCCCTACACTCAGGGAACTGTAGACAATCTGAGATTGTCAGTTTAATCACTCACTTAAGCTGAGGGTGGAAGTCAAAAAAAAATTTTGGAGTATCACAGAAAAAAAACAACCAAATGTCTGCATTAATAGTGAAACCAGATGTTCTTCACAGAAACTCAGAGATTACTGCCATGACTACATTGTGAAAAGGAAGAAGAACATTGTACACTAGTAGGTCCAACTTTCTCTAGGGACACTCTGTGCCATGATGTCATCAGCCCTGTTACCCACCATCTATAAACAGTGAAGGTATGGCTAAAAGTGAGGATTTCCAACAGGTATGCACAGGGTACAGACATTCATTAGAACTGCAGTCTGCAGAACTTGGCTTACACAGTCCCCATCAACCTGATTGCCAAGAGTGATGTGTTCAGTGCCCTGATACCTCTGTCATCCTGACCGACCATTGGTCAAACAGGCAAGAGGAGGCAATGCCATCAAAGGACTTCACAACCTCACTTCCTGGAAGAAAAGGACACCTGTCTGCATTCCAGACTCCCAGATGGGGAAAGGGCAATTTACACAGTCTCCATCATGGATGGATGGATGGATGGATGGATGGATTCTGTTTATCCAGCCCTTCCTGACTGAGGCCTCTGATGTGCTTTTGATCAAAACAGTGCCCAAGAGCATCAGACTAAGCAAGAGGGACGTTTGTGAATAAAACTTGTCCACCACAGACAGCACAGATACTGCTGAGTGTGTCCAGAATGACTTTGCACAGAGCTTTTCTGGAGCAGTGCTGGTCATTACACAGCAGGGCCTTTGAGGCCCTGAACCTGAGCAGAGCTGCTCCATCTGTGGTTGGGAGTGACAAGGTACCCCTGAGCAGTGAAGGGTCTGTGGGCTTCCATTACTGTCCTTGGACTGCCCTGGCCCATGAGGGTTCACAGGGACTCCAGTGTGAGGCCCACAGTGGTTAATCCCAGCACTGACGTGTGAATGGTGCCACGCCTGCCAAAACCCGGGCCCTGCCACAGGCCTTACGTGTGGCTGTGGGGCTGCAATGAGGAACTGATCCCAGCTGTCCATGCCCATTTGTGCTGGCCATGGTCTGAGGCTGGGCAGTGGAGTGAAGATGGAGATGAGGCCTTGGGCCAGCTCTGAGGCTATTCCACACAACCACACTTCTGACATCCTTTGGGAACATATTCTGTCTACCGCAGCACAGCACTGACCAGAGCAAGAGGTGCCGCATTCCCATGATCCTGCAGGTGCGTTTGTTCCAGGACATCATGTGGAATTCTAGTTGATACATGAAGTTTTTGCAGGAGGTGTTGGAGGTATATCTTGGCAGAGACACTGAAGGGAACAGGCTGATCACCATGGGGTATCTGGGGATGTTTTGCATCCTGGCCCAGGATCATACCCCACGTAAGACCCTCTGCAGTGTATCCCAACCTCACATTTTTCTGGATGAAGGGTCTCACTACATTGTCACCTTATCCCCTGCCAGGATCAACACCATTCTTCCCCGGCAGCCTGCAAGGGCATGTGTGGAGGGAAGGACAACCTGGAGACCCAGCCTGAGATGCAAAAATCTTTATTGAGTTTAAAGAGGGAATCAAGGTTGTTACAAGCACAGACCCTCACTGCAGGGATCTGGAGGGACAAGCAAGACACTTCACCTCTTAGCCATGGTGAAGTCCGTGCAGGGCATCCATTTGCCTTGCCTGTAGAGTACAGGCTGGCTTGGAGGAGCCTTGCTGCCGAGGGGAGCAGAAGGACACAATGAAAATAGAAACAAGGAGATATGTAGGAAAGACGTAGGGCTTTTGAAGTGCCTGAGCTGGGCCCTTCTTTCCAACATTTTCAGGAGGAACTAAAGATGCTCAGTTCCTCTGAAAGAAATGACCTGAAGATTCTTCCTTTGTCCAGCACCATGCCTGGAGATCCTGGGGACACTTCCCAAGACCGATATATGCCCAGCACCATTAGCAAGGGAGGCCTCTCCTTCCACCGTAGCGCCTGGTGATGCAGGAGAGGTCAAAGCCCCCAGAGTTGATGGGCACTCCATCACAGCTGAGGATGTTGCCAACAGCAGCAGAGGTGGAGGATCCCACCACAGTGTTCTGTGGGAAGGAGCTGAGGATGGGCCCGGGCAGGGTCACCACCACGGGCGAGGGCTGGATGGCCACGTGGGAGTCCTGGCACTGCCTGACACAGGGCTCATTGCAGCTGTTGGCCAGTGGAGTGGGGCCACAGGGCTGGCAGGGACGGCACTGGGTGTTGCAGGACATGTCTTGAGGCTGTAGACGCACCTGGCAGAAAGAGCAGAGAGGAAACAGAGCACAAGGCTGGGTGGGTGGTGAGGAGCAGCCTGGTTACCCCATCACAAAAGAGCCAAGGCCATCACGAGTGGGAAGCTGGAGACTGGGCCAGGAGCCATACAAAGAGCAGCCTGACTCAGGAAGTTCTCTGCCAGGGCATAAAGCAAAAGGAACCACCATCACCAGCCTCTCTCTATGCCAGCCTCCTCCCCACTTTCCTCTCTCATGACCAGATGCTCCAATCCCCAAATATGAGAAAGCACATGTCAGTTGAGTTGTCCACCAAGCAGAGATCTCACTTTGGCAGAGAAAGAGAAGGGGCTTCAGACTCACCTGATTCCCAAGCAGAAGGAAGCAAGAGAAGTGGATGAGAGAGCAGAGACTTGGGCTGCCTTTTATACCTGCCCTTCACTGCCGCGGGACCAGGGGCAGACTTTGCAGAGGTAACAATTTCCCAGCAAGCTCATCTTGAATGTAAACTAGCACACCTAATGATATGGGCTGTGCTTTTATTTCCTGCATTGCTGCCTTTTCATTTCCAGGTTTGTTCCATGCCCGTTCCCCAATGAAGGCTTCTTCTGATCCCTGGGATTAAAGGCCCCAGGATTTCTAAGGCAGGAATGCAGCAGTGCAGGCAGAAGACTCAGTTTATGTACTGCACAGGCCCAGGCTCGGCAAGTGATATTACAGTCTGGATAACTCTGGGGGGCTGTTTTGAGTTCCAGCAATCCTCAGCTGGCTGCCCAAGGACTCCTGTGCATCAGAATATGTCCTGTCCTTCTCTTTCTCTCCCTATGGTCACTTCTTCCCCCCCTGTGTCCATGGACTCTGCAACTGGTTTTCACCCCAATGTGCCTAACTCTGCTATCAGGAGAAAATTCTGTCTTGTTTTAACTCATGCCCTCTTTGTGCAGCACAGAAAATGTCATGGGCTTGTCCAGTTCCTTGTCATTCCTCACAATTCTCCAACCCTGCTGCAGTTGTCCCCAGGTGTCCTTAGAAGAGTCCACAGTGTGTTGTGCTCCTACAACCTAGACTTCTACAGGACAGAAAGGTGGGCCCCTGTAATTCTCATGGAGCTCAAGAAGGCCAAGTGTAAGGTCCTGAATTTGGGTTGGGTCATTCCCAAGGATGGACACAGACTGGGTAACGAGTAAACTGAGAGCAGCCCAGCCAAGAAGGACTTGGGTATACTGGTGAATGAGAGGCTGGACATGACCTGCAACGTTCACATGCAGCCCTGGAATTGTATCCCAGAATTGTATTGCATCAAAAGAAGAGTTACTACCAGGTATAGAAAAGTGGTTCTCACCAATACTCTGCTCTTGTAAGACCCCAGCTGGAGTGCTGTGTCCAGTTCTGGGGTCCCCAGTGTGAAGGTGCTGAAGTAGGTCTAGAAGAGGTCACAAAGTTGCTCAGAGGGCTGCAGCCCCTCTGCTATGGAGACAGGGCTGGGAAAGATGAATGTGTTTAGGCTCAAGATTGTTCTGGGAATACCTTAAATTACATTCCAGTGGCCAAAGAGGATACAAGAGAGATGAACTCTCTCTTTTTTACAAAGAGAGGGACTTTTTTACAAGAGCATGGAGTGACAGGTCAAGGGGGAATGGTTTCCCACTGAAACAGGATAGATTTTTACTTACTAAGAAAAAATTCTTCCCTCTGAAGGTGGTGAGGCCCTGGCACAGGTTGTCCAGAGAAGCTCTGTCTGCCCCATCCCTGGAAGTGGATACTATAGTGCTGTGAAGCACATACTCATGTGACTTTCACAGTTCCTTCTAGATCCAGGGATTTTGATGATAAAAACTGTCCAAGAAACCTGACTTGGGGCAGATCTATTGGAGGCTACACCATAAACAAGCAAACGAGCCTTGTCAATGTTCTCTGCTTACAATAACAGTGCAATTCTCAGAGCAAGTAGCCTACTGGCTCTTTTTCCTGTCTCATCTCTATGGGCCTCTACTGATGGCCACAGCTGGAGAATGAGGCCTTTGGTAGGAAGCACAATTGCTCTTACCGTTTTGACACTGTGGTCACAGAAGCCCAAGATGGGAAGGACTCTTCCTTACCCTGTGTCAGCAAGTGAAAAACAGCCACCAGCCAGACTCTGGACAAGATTCTTCCTGCCCTCATACACTGCTAGAGAGTGGTCTCACTCTTTTTCAAGTCTCTCCTTTTCAGGGAAATCACCAGTGCTGGAGGGAGCTCCCATGTTCTTGGGTCTGTGCCAGTTTCTCTAACAGCTGGTAACATCTCAATGATCGCTTCTCCTCCCATGAGCTAAAGGAAGGGTTCTGGGGATCTATTTTCAGGCAACCCCACTACAGCACTTCTTATGGAAACTCAGCTCAAGGGTGCTGAGTTTCCAGTGGATCACACCCTTTGAACTGGAATCTGTTTCTCAAGAAGTATCATCCCCTTTGCCCGAGAAATCTCAGGGTACTCCTTTGTTTTTCTGCTGCTGTTCTGGCATAGCCTGCCTCTCCCAAGTGACCTGCTCTGGAAGCCCTGTGTGAGGCTTTGAATACCACTATTTATTTCAGCGGGTTCTAAGCAGTGTTGATGAGGAATTCACAGCAGGTCTCAGACATTCTGCTGTGTCTTGGATATTTTTGACATTTCAGATCCTGCTTTTTGTTGCTTTCCAGGACTGTAGAGGGCTTCAACACTCCCAACAAATTTGTTCCAATTTGTTCCAAAATGCATCATTCCTAGGCAGAAATGACAAGCAGTGATGTCTGTCTGAGGATTAATCCAGTCTCAGATTCTTTCTGCTGTCCCAGGCATTTTCACAAATGCCACTGAAAAAGAGAACAGCTGACAAAGGGTGGGAATCAGCCTGTGCCTTGGGCAGTGGTGCCTGGGCCTGGATACAGGACTAAGTGCCAAGTGCCCAAGTGGATGCAGGAGGTTTGTGAATCTCCTCCAGAAGTGCCATTGCTTCTAGAAGGGAGGAGTAGATGTTCAGTTCAGACTCAATCATCTGAACTGGAGAGCTCTACACTCAGGTGAAATTAATCCCACACTCTCCATAAAGGTGTGTTTACCATTATGAGGAGCTGATGCCTCCTCATTATGAAGTGGTTACATGGACTATCGTTACTTCCAGTGTGCAAAAAGAAAAGCTTTGAGAACACAGTTAATCTGTTCTTAAATGAAAATTGGGAGGGGAAAGGAAGTGCTGTTTGGAAGTGCTAATATCCTCCCAAGGAGTGTAAGGAGAGACTTGATTCCCAGCCAGCCTTCCACAGCTCTGCACTTTGAGTGCTTTGCCAATCACATTAAAGTTTTTCCACAACAAAGCCCAAAATGGGTGGAACAATGTACTGCTAAAAATGATGTGGGGTTTTAGATGTGGAAATGCCCTGACACATCTAGTATGAAGCACACCATTTTGCATAATTTTAATTAAAAATAAGAGAGTAGATTCAGATACTAAGGAGAGGAAAGAAGAGGAATTATGCAAATTTTGTTTGCAGTCTTATGCCAGGAATAATGGCTATAAGTAGAGATATCAGGCATTACCATATTTTATCTTGAATCAGATTTGAGGAAATAGCTACAAGAATGTGGCATAGATACATCACAAAACATCAGGCTAAATGGAAAAACATATGTCCACTTCCTAAAGCAACATTTCCTAAAGTTGCTGGGATTTCTTTAGGAGATTCAGAAAAACCCTGACAAAATTTAGCACTTGGCAAACTGGAGTAGAAGCCTTTGGGAGCACCATTCCTCCAGCTCTGTTACAGAACCGTTTATGGACAGGGTTTGTGACCCTTTCCAAGCACAGCACTTTAAAGGACTGGGAGGCATTCTGAATTACCTGAGAATGAACAGAGGGTGGTGGGAGAGAAGAACTGAAGCTCAGCCTAGCCAGAGATGGCTGTAAGGTGATATGAGCTCACTGGGGAGTTGGGGGCTTCTCGCTGCCTGGGATGTCCACACAGACCTACATTTCAGAAGGGATCTTCTGCAGGGCAGAAGTCGTGGGAGGGCAGGGATGAATCTGTTCAACTGATACCCTGCTTCACTTTTTCTGGAATGCCCATCCCAGAGCGAGCCTCACCTCTTTGTTTCTGAGTGTGTAAATGAAGGGGTTCAACAAAGGAGTTACCACTGTGTTAAATGTATTCACGATTTTGTTCAGATCCAGGGAGGTCTGGGCTGATGGCTTGACATACAGGAACATGGTGGAGCCATACCAGATGCTGACAACACTGAGATGGGCAGAGCAGGTGGAAAAGGCCTTTTTCCGGCCATGGGCTGACTGGATCCGCAGGATGGAAGAGATGATGTACATGTAGGAGACCAAGGTGACCACACAGGAGGCCACCACAACAATTATGGAGATGAGGAAGGTTGCCAGCTCCACAGGCCATGTATCACTGCAGGAGAGGGCAAGGCAGGAATCTATATCACATAGAAAATGATTGATGACATCTGGCCCACAGAAAGTCAGCCTGGATGTCAGAAAGGCCAATAGGGAAATGGCCAAAAAGCCTCCCAGCCAGCAGCTGAGTGCCAGCCGAACAGAGAGGACATTGTTCATGAGGGAGCTGTACCTCAGGGGGCAGCATATGGCTAAGTAGCGGTCATAGGCCATGACAGACAGGAGAAAACACTCAGTGGAGCCTAGAGAGAGAAGAAAAAACAACTGGAAAATGCAGACACTGAAGGAGATGGTCTGGCTAGTCCCCAGCATGACTCCTATGGCTTTGGGAACAACACCCGTAGTATACCAGATCTCCAGAAAGGAGAGATTACAGAGGAAAAAGTACATTGGAGTGTGTAGGTTGCTGCTTCTCCACACAAGGGCTATGATGGATGCATTACCTATCACTGTCAGGATGTACATCAGTGCAAACACCACCACAAATGAGACTCGGAATTGCCATGTCCCTGGGAAGCCAAGAAGGATGAATTCTTTTACAGTTGTCCTATTTGCCATGTCCTTCCAAGTGTTGAGGTCCATCTGCAAAGAAAGAAAAGTTTCTGTGAAAGTTTGCATGCTTGTGCTGGTCCTTCAGATGCTACAAGTAGTGAAAAAAAATCACCATCTCTGAAAATGCAGTTGGTGCACAGCATGGGAAAATGGCAGTTTTCCTATGTTAAAATTTTCATAGAAATCCTCCCCTGATGAAACACGTTTGGACAACTAGATCTAACCTGAAAATCAGATGTACCCCAACAAATGAACATTTGGAGAAGTGTTTATCAGACTGTGCATCTCCTTTGCAGCATGGGGCATGTAGTTACTTCTGTGAGATGAAAATCCCACTTAGGATGGGGGATTTGTCCATCCCAAATATGGACACCAGGCTGAGGCACTCCAGCTATAGAAAAAGCTGTTACAAGTAGGAAGGCAATAATATAACTTGTAGTCTCCAAGGCAGGCAATACTGAGGTGTGATATCATCAAATGCAGCTGAGGAATACAAATACTGTCATGATAATGTGACATTGCAAGAGATTTTCCCACCTCTTCTATGTCAGTTTATTACCAGGGATTGAGACTGAGCTGCAGCCATGCAGGGCAGCAGGTTAGTATGCCAGTCACTACTCAAGGTCTCCTATACTGGCTTTCTTCTAAGCCTCAGAACAGGAAGCTTTTGCAAATACCTTCATTTCCCTCACTGATGTCTGCTTCTCAGCATAGCTACTAGGGGTATGATCCACCTCTTTGCAATTTTGCCATTTCAGAGTCAGAGGATTTCTGCTGACTAAGCTGAAATATCTATGGTGAAATACTCCTATCTCAGCTCCTCAGCTTAACCCCCTTCTTTCTTCACAGACAGAGAAAAAGCATGAGGGAGACATGGCTCATTTTGTCTTAAAAGCATGGCTAAAAGCTCTCTAGAAGTACCAGGTTGTCTCTGAGGTCTAAGGCAGGAGTCTAGTAAGCACCTGGATGTTATACATCTCAACTTGGGCAGAGATATTCAGCCTCAGCAACTGAAGGCAAAGTCCTCTGACTTGAATTCCATTAAAGGTAGCTCTGCTGAACTGTTCCTGCAGACAAGGGAAAATCCTTGATCAGTTCTCTAGAAAAAACATATTTTCAGGTGGATATGGAAGACAGATGGACTAAATTACCACCTGACTCATCCCTTTCCTATCTTCCTCCACAGCAATATATACCAGAAATCTCATGTACTTAAAGAGTAAAGAAGCCTCCCTTAAACCAGCTCCCTTTAAAGATGCAAGGCATTGGAGGTCTGTGCTACATGTCTTGGGCAGGGTTCACTCACCAGATTTTCCCGTGGCAATGATCCAAATGACATTTTTTCATGCACCGTCCTTCCAAGATAGCCATGGTTCCCTTGGCTAATAGAGAGCATTGAAAAGAGGTAGATTTATTGGGGGGAACTCTGGATTCAGGTGAAGGTGTGTGGACGAGCAGCTCTCCCCTTGCTGACTCACTTCAAGCTGATGGCAACTGCCTGACCTGGTTTCCTCTCCATCCAGTAGGATCTGACAGCTTCCACTCCTGATCTTTTCCCTCTAACTGCCACCACTGTAATTCCACTAAAGAGAGCTTTGTGTGCACACACACAAAGTGAAAACTCTCTTCAGCTTAGCTTCATATAGTGAGATCATACACCAGAGAGTCACCAGCATCATCAGCATAAGAACATCCCCACACCCACCTCATTAACACAATGAAGCTCCAGCTGGCCACACCTAGGAGACTGTTTTCTGTTTTCCCTCTGGGATGCTCCAGGGAATTTGACCTCTGGGAGGCCTTATAGGCTTGTCAGAGATGAATAGTACTCTCTCTTCACACAGGCCAATTAAAGAACAGCAGTGCAATTCCCTAAGTGGCTGCTAGGCTGGGTGTTTGCCTTCTGCCTGCAGCTGTGGTATGAGAACCTTGTCAGGAACTCAGCTGACATGGAGATGTCTGAAATAGTCATGTTCCAAGAGACTGGTGTCAAGCATTTGGTGCTGGGTACTAAGAGGGTCGTGAAACCTCCAGGGTGAGAAGTAACTCAAGGCAACTATGGGCACATGAATAGACAGTAAGCCAAGGAACTCACCTACCTCATTTCAGAGCCTCTAAATGCAGTTAAGGCCTCTGTCTTCAGTTTTAACTGAAGTGAAGAACTAAGTAAAGATCTAAGTTCAAAATCAGATGAGATATTAGTAGAGGAAAATTGATTTCCCCTGACTCTAAAAAAGATGTCTTCTATTGAGGTACTCATCTTTGCTCCATTCATCACCAGCTGAGAGAAGTAGGCACTCTCAAGCCTTAGTTCAACCCTTACAAAAAATGATCTCTTACAGATCAGGTAATACATGTCTTACAGACACCTATTTTTCTTCTGTTGACACTCAAGATAAACTAGTCAGCTGGCTTAGACTACACACACACTTCTCATCCTCTAGACATCTTGAGTTAGATTCACCTCCAGAGAGAGTCTGTCTGCACTGTCCAGAATCACCACACAGGTGCTAGACTTGACAGAGACATTTTCTGCAAGTCCTGTGTCCCAAGCTTCAGTGTGATTGAGAGAAAACTGACCTGTACTTGGTTTGAGGTGGAGATGCAGCTAATGGGAATAAAGTTCTCTGCTTGAGCATATTTGCTGACCATGAAGCCGTCTCCCTGCCATTTATCTGTCCTATCCATGGAAATGGATGTGGGGTTTAGCCATGGGATGGAGGTGTTGAAGCCTGTGGGTTCATTTGTGATTGCTTAATGAAGCAAGCCATGCACACATGACCAGGTATGCAGGCCCTGATTTGAGCTTGTCCTAGTTGGGGAGTTCAGAGGCCCACCACTGGTCATCTGCAGGATTTTTGTCTCCAGAAAGATGATTCTTGCTCTTTCCTGGCACATCTGCTTTGGGATGGAGTAAGTCCCATGGGTGACCTGATGTCCCATCACTGACTGTGGGAAGAATCTACAGAGTATGTTAGATCTGATCCTGAAGATGGTTTGTGCTCCCCATCTGCAGGACATGCTCTGAGACCAAGGAGTCATATATGAGCAGAAATGTTGGAAGGCTGAGCCTGCTCCCTGGTGTCTGTGGAGAAGTCAGGGATGTCTTCCTCAGCTCCAAAGGACAGTGCCTGAATGGGCCCCACTTCTGTGTTTCCCACCCTCCCCTTCCTCTGGGAATAATCAATGGTCTACTTGTGTCCCCACCTTTTCGTCCATCACCCATGGCAACACCTTTTAGTCTCAGCAACTTGAGACAAGGACACCAAAAAAGGATTACATGGAGACTGAGTATGAGATGCAAAAAGCTTTATTGTCATTGAAGTGGGAAATTAGTTCCCTTATAGAGGAGGCTACTGGTGGTGGTGGTGAGAGACCACATGCAACTGCAGCAAGTCTGGGCCCACTTTGGCACAGACACTGGAAAGCCAACGGGGTATCCATCTGCCTGCCCTACAGTGGGTTGGCAGGGGTTAGCAGATCCCCCACAGAGGCTCTGAAAGTCTTACAGTCCAGAAATATGGAACACAAGAGAAAGGTGGAAGAGAGAGTAAGGCAGGGAAAGCAAACACTGGCCATGTTTCAGAGAGCCCCACCAGCCCTCCTTCAGAAGGGCAGCATTGGTTGCACAGCACCTCTGAATTTGATGGCCAGAAGCTCTGTCCTCAGTCCAGCATCAGCTTCTGGGTTCCTGGGGGTCCTTGTGAGGGCTGCACCAGTGGCTTTAGCATGGACGACATCTGCTGCCACTAAAGCGGTTGGTGATGCAGGAGAGGTCAAAGCCACCAGAGTTGATGGGCACTCCATCACAGCTGAGGATGCTGCCAACAGCAGCAGAGGTGGAGGATCCCACCACAGTGTTCTGTGGGAAGGAGCTGAGGATGGGCCCGGGCAGGGTCACCACCACGGGCGAGGGCTGGATGGCCACGTGGGAGTCCTGGCACTGCCTGACACAGGGCTCATTGCAGCTGTTGGCCAGCGGGGTGGGGCCGCAGGGCTGGCAGGGCCGGCACGGGCTGTAGCAGGACATGGCTGGGGGCTGCAGATGAACCTGAGAGACAGGGAAGGGAACGAAGCAGAGCGCAGGCACATGTGAGGAGCCATCAGCCATGAGTCCATCATCCCACTGCAATTGCAATGGTACCTGCTTAAGCCAGAAAGCAGAAACTGGGCAGTGAGAGAAAGGGGTTTTCCTCTAAATCCTGACACAGTACTGCAAAGTGTCACATTGTTTCTTCAATAAAGAGCTCCCTCAGCCAAATCCGTGACACTAAGTCAGATCTTAGTTCTTCTCTGACCCCTCAGCAGCAGTAGCACTAAGACCTCTCACAGGCTATAGGAACACACATCTGCTTCACCAGAAAAGGACAGGGGAAAGAGCTTCAGACTCACCTGGGTCCCAAGGAGAAGGAGGCAGAAGTGGATGAGAGAGCATGAAGTTGGACTGGCTTTTATATTCACTCTGAGTTGCCCCAGGCCCAGAGGTGGCTTCTATGAAAGTGATAATTTCCTAAGGTGCTCATGATGTATGGAAAACATCGCAGTTAATGACATGGGCTGGGTGCTTGTTTTCCGTGTTGCCACCTTTTCATTTCCTGGCTTATGTCATAGACATTTCTTCATGGAGGCTTATTCTGAGTGCTGAGATTGAGACGCCTCAGGATTTCCAGGGCAGGAATGCATCAGTGTCTGTGGAATCTTCTCCTCAAGTACTGAATGGGTGCAGTGCAGGGAAATGAGGTTGGCCTGGAGCTCACTTCTGGTGTTGCCTGTGGCCTTGTTGATTGGAAGGGGTGCAGCTGCTCCCAGCTCTTCAGCCCTTGACTGGTCACCCAGATATATGCCGTGATACCACTGCAAAATTATATGCCATGTCTCTTTCTTCCATGCTTCCCAACTTGCTCCAGTGTTTGTTTGTGTTCAGAATCTCGGGCATTTGGGCTGCACTGTTGGGTTTCATTTTCTTGCTCCTACGGCTCTCCTTATGTCCTTCCAATAGCTCCAAGGAGGGAGAATCCTCAAATCATCTGGGCAATGTGAGCCAGTGCTTGGTCACTCTCAACAATAAGGTCTTTCCTATGTTTCACACAGAGCTTCCAGTGTTCCAGCCTGTGCTTGTTTCCTGTGGTCCCATCACTGGGCACCTCAGAGAAGTGCCTGGCTCTGTTTGCCTTGCACCCTCTGGATTTGGGTTGCATGGCAAGGTTTTGGTTGTGGGGGAGCCAACACCAGAGGGATTTAAGACTCATCCACCACTGGCCAAGGCTGAGCTCATCAGCGATGGTGGAAGCACCTCTGGGATAACATGTTTAGGAAGGGAGGAAACAACTACTGTGGAACAGCAGCCAGAAGAGAGGTTAGAGAAGATGTAGAAAGAAACAACCCTGCAGACACTAGTCTCCGTGAAGAGGGGAGGTAGGTGCTCCAGGTGACCCCATAAAAGTTCATGCTGAATCAGGCTCCTGTCAGGACCTCTGGCCATGTGGGTGACAGGCCCGTGCTAGCACAGGTTTGCAGGCAGGACTTGTGAAGAACTCATATTGGAGAATTTTTGGGGTACTGTCTCCCATGGGAGGGACCCCATGCTGACATAGGGGAAGTGAGAGTTCCTTTTCCTAAGGATAAAAGAGCCACAGAGATGTGTTGAACTGACCACAACTCCAAGTCCCTACCCCTTTGGAAGGGAGAAAATCAGGAGTGAAGTTGAGCCAAAGAAGGGAGCAGTGGGGGGGAAGGTGGTTTTAGATTTTAGGTTTACTTCTCATTACCCTATGCTGACTGGATTGCAATAAATAAAATTAATTTCCCCAATGTGAGTTGGGTTTTCCCATGAGGGTAATTGATGAGTGATCTTTCCTGTCCTTATCTAGCCCCAGAAGCTTCTTGTATTTTCTCTCCTCTGTCCAGCTGAGGAGAGGGATTGATGGAACAGAGCCATTGTAGAAGACTGTTGGAATCAGCTGAGTGGTCCATTGAGGTGAGATCTCTTTTTAGAGAAAGCAGAGAACAAGAAAGGGTTTCAGACTCACTTGATTCCCAGGGAGAAGGAGGCAAGAGAAGGTGATGAGAGAGCAAAGAATTGTGCTGGCTTTCACTGTGGACCTTTACTGACTCAGGCTGCCAGAGGTATCCCTTCTGGAGGTGATAATTTTCTGACAAATTCATCTTGAATGCAAAACACCTCATTTAATGCTGTGAGCATCTCATTTAATGTTTGGTTTCTTAAATGGCTGTGTTTTCTCTTCCTGCTTTATTTCTGGCACATTCCTCAATGAAGGCATCTTTTGCATTACAAGATGAGAGGCCCAAGCATTTCTGCATCAAAACACATCAGCGTCAGCACAGGACTCACGCCACATGCTGCAGGAGTCCATTAAAAGTAAATTATGTCAGTCTAGGTCACTCCGTTGGGATCTTAGGGGCTTTGTCTTGAAGAAGTGGCCTTGTTTCTGGGTTTGACTGTATCCCACCAAACACAGAGCCCAGGACAATTCAGGTGGCTGGCTTTGCCTTCTCCTGTCATGCACCAGGGATACAGAAAGGGGAAGAAAAGGTGGAAGGTTTTATTCAGCTGTCAGAAAGAAAGGCAAATTACATAATAAAGGGGCTTCCCTAAGAACAAAGGTGGCAAAAGGAAGAGTAAGGGAAGTGTAGGACTGCTGCTGAATGAGATGAGGACCCTGGTGACACAGGATAGAGAAAAAGCTGAGGTGCTGAAGGCCTTCTTTGCCTCAGTCCTTATTAGCAAGGCTGGCCTTAAGGAATACCAAACATATATTGGGGGTAAAGTCACGATCAGGGAGCACGCACCCTTCACGGAAGGAGATCAGGCCAGTGAATCCTTAGCAAACTTCACTTGCAGTTTGTACTTCCTGTTGGAATGTACACACGAGTGGTAAGGGAACTGGCTCCTGTCATTGCCAGGTCACTCTTGGTTACCTTCAGCCAAGCATGGTGACTGGATGCTGGAGCAAAGCAAATGTCACTTCTGTCTTCAGAAAGGGAAAAAGGAGAACCCAGTGAGCTGCAGCCTTCTCAGCCTCACCTTAGCCCCTTAGAAAGTGCTGGAGCAGCTAGTCCTGGAAAGCTCTCCTAATCAAGGCATGTCAGTGATGAGAAAGTCACCAGGAGGGGGTCAGGATGGCTTCACCAAGAGGAAGTTATGCCTGATCTTCTTGACAAAGTGCTGTGGTGATGTGACAGGCTCAGGAGAAGAGGAAAGAATGGTGGCTCTTCTCTACCTAGAGGTGAACAATGCCTTTGACACTTTTGTGTGGATTCCTGTAGGAGTGTCACAGAGAAGCTGTTGATGTTGGATGAGCAGACAGTGAGGTAGAATGAAAACTGACACAGGCACAGGGATCAATGATCAGCAGCACAAAATAAAGTTGGAGACCAGTGACTGGTGGTGCATCTAAATGGTGAGGGCTTGATGGGTCCTGTTTTATGTGGGTGATGGGACAGAGTGGACCCTCAGCAGATTTGCACACAACACCAAACTGGGAAGAGAGGCTTATGCATCAGAGAGTCAGGCTAGCATCCAGAGGGACCTCAGCAAGCAGGAGAAATGGGCTGATGGGAAACTCATGCAATTGAACAAGGGAAAGTGCAAATTCAACAGTATCCCCAGGTCCATTGGATCAGGTGTTGCCAGGAGCTCAAGAGAGGTGACTGCTCCCCTTTATGCAGCACTGGGGGGGACACAGCTGCAGCGGGCTCCTCTGCCACCCTTCCTCTGTGACCATATCAGTGACAAAAGGGAACAGTAAGAGAGTGATAAGGTGAGTGGAAAATTCTCTGTCCTACCAGGCTCAGAGAGTTGTGGCCATTGCTTCAAACTGGTAGACAACTCTGGGGTCTCTCAGGGATCAGCAGTAGGACTACTAGTGTTGCATGTTACCATGAATGTCATGAATAGTGGGAAGGAGGACACTGTTCACAAGACTGGAGGTGACATGGAACAACAAAGAACAGGCAGTGAACTGGCCTCTGTTGCCCAAGTTATTCCCAGAAAATCCTGGAACCACCTGTGCAAAGGAAACAGGGAATACAGACTAGACTCTGGAAGTTCTCTGCAACAGGAAAATAGGCAAGGAACAGCTGCTGGAACATGGGGCTTTCAGCCTCCTCACTGCCATCTGCAGAAAACCCCTGACTGCAGTTTCCAGCCCCTGAGCACAGACACAGCTCGGGGAAGCTGCTCCATCTGCTGGTTCAGGTCCCTGTTGCTGCCTCAGGCTGCAGCTGGAGCTGTTCCGGCTGATTCTCTCTGAAATGTACTTGCTGGAGGAGGGGGAGTCCATTTGCCAGGACACCAAGCTGTGTCCGTGCAGAGCCCGAGTGCTCTGAGCCCGGGCGAGAGCCCGAGCGGCGCCAGCGCAGGGTTCAGACGGGGGCGGAGCTGGGGGCGATGGAGAGAGAGGAGAGGAGAGGAGAGAAAAGGAGGGGGCACAGTGAGAGAACAGAGCCGGGGCTCAGGGGCACAGCGAGGCTCGGCCGGCGGAGCGGCGGCATGCGGCGGTGTCGGGGCGCGGGGCTGGCGGCGCTGGCCGCGCTGCTCATCGGTGCGTGGGGCTGGCGGCGGAGGGGTCGCGGTCTGGGGATGGGGTGATCTCGGAGGCTGCCGTCCTGTCTGGCTTCTTCTCAGACCGGTTCCCGCGAACTGCTCTCCCGTTCATCCTTCCCTCTTTTCCATCCCAAACTTCTATTCTATGCCAGAACCTTCAGAAACATTCTTTCTTTATAACTCATAAAATCAGTCCTTACCCACTGCTAATATTCTTCTTGTCTTTTTGTGCTTTCTCCCATATCTTCCCATTCTCCAGTGACTCTCCTAATCGTTCTGTCATTCACACATACATCTCTCCACAAGCGATTAATGGACACTTCCATTCCTGCATCTAAGGTGCCCTGGTAACTGTTTTCCTCCTCATCTCTCCGTGTTCCTGACTGCTTCTGCGGGCTTTCTTCTGGGGATTGGCAGGCGGAACTGGGTAGAAAGAAGGAGATGAAGTTTATTTTTTTTGTCTCCCTGGCAGTGGCTGAGGTCAGAGCCCAAGTGGAGCAGGAGCCATTCCTGGAGACCACCGAGGGTACCAGCATCACCATCAAGTGCTCTCACCCCAGTATCCGTACAGGCGATTTCATCTACTTCTACCGTCAGCTGCCGGGCCAAAGCCCCATCTCAGTAGGTCAAGGCATGAGAGTTATTTGCATTGAGGCTTTCTGAGGTGACAAATAAATCTCTGTCCCTGCAGAAATGTCTTTGTTCCATACTGCCAGATGAATAAGAAGCAGCATTCTCCCCGGGATTTATAAGGCAGGTATGCATTCCATCCCACCTGATCCTGGAATTCACTTCTCTACATGTTTTGCTCCCATCGTCAGCTTTCCACAAACACCAGGGATGTGCATTCAGCATCTTCCTCAAATAGCAGAATATATGGAGGGAAAAACAGTAAATCTGTTGGAGTAGAGGAGCATTTTTCGGGAAAGTATTTTGGACTATTTTGACTTATCTCTGCATTGTGAAGTAACTGAGGAAAGAAAAATATCCCCTGGGCTTGCCTGGGACCTTGTCCTCCCACAACCCAGCCCTGTTGCCTTTGGCCCCACATGTCCTCAGCAGAGCCCAGGGCTGGCTGTGTGCAGCACCGTCAGTAGAAGAAGAATGTTAAAAACTCCTAGTGCACATGCACGAGTTAACAGTACCACAAACACACTCTGGAGCTTGCACACACCTGAATTAACTCATAGCTCTGCATGGATGAAGAGGTGTGTGTACACATATTTCCGAAGGGGACCCAGGCAGAGACACATCTCCTTCTGCCATGTCCCCACTGATGTGCAAACACCCACACTCATTCCTGTTCCTGCTCCTGCACCCAAGTCTGCGCACGCACATCAATGTGAACACTTCCATCCAGAGATGTGAACACATAAAGCACATCCCAACATGGATGTATTCCAACACACTTAGATATACACTCTGCCTTCCTCCCTCCTCAGCTTAGCCTGATACTTATCGGTTTTTGCCTCCCCATGTGTCATTGCTGTACTGTTGGTTGCAACCCTGCCCTGTTAAAATTGCCTTCAGGAAATTAGTCGTGTCTCATTGGACATGTGACCCTCTGTTCTACCTGTGAGTACACAATCCATGCCAGGACCTTGCCTGACTCGTTGTCCTTCCCCACAAGGCTCCAGCCCTGCTGCACTTGTTCCCAGGTTTCCTCACCAGCGTCCATGGCTGATTGTGTCCTTGCCTGTGTTCCTGGTTTGTGTGCACTTGTGTTCAGGCAGGGTCCGCAGGAATTCACGTGGGAGCCCAAATTCTTGCATGGATTCACCTCGATGTGCAGGTGCCCGTGTGAGTGTGTGTGTGCGTCTGTTTGTGTGTCTGTGTGTCTCTCTTTGTGCGTGTGTGGGTGGGTATCCCCTATTGTGTTACTCAACCAGTGAAATGCATTGATCTCACTGGAGACATTCTCCACTTCTCTGCCCTGAGCATCACAGAACAGCATTTGCCCAGACTCAGAAGGATCCTGGGGGCAGCTGAACAGCAGGAGATTTGTCCAGGGAAGAGGCGCTGAAATGCAGTCCCTGCTTCCTGAGCCCTCCTT